GAAGAGGTCTGGTCTAACATGAATTGTGGAGCTTAATAGTCGTCAGGTTAATCAGTGTGGTTCAGTACGTTTTTAGGTTATGTTTAATTGCCACTCATAACTTACGTACGCAATGCTATGAACCTTTTGCACTAAGAAATCACTCACAGTACTCTTAAAGCTTTGGTATATTTCTTTTGTTATATTTAATATTTGTTTTGTTTTAATAAAATTTTATTTGATTTCAATTTGGCTATTTATGGTTTAATTGGTTCTATGGTTTTTATTCTCCTTCCACTCTAGTCACGCGGTTTCGTTGCATAACTGGGCAACTCAGGTCCAGTTATTCGGCTTATATTAACTTTCAAGTGGCTTTGAAGTTAATTTTTCCACAGAGATTATTTGCACAATATATGCACGATTTATTAGGTCGAAATTAAGGCCATCTAGTATTTCAAATTTATATTTGTTGTATTGCTATGAGCAGCTAGCAGTTCGGTTTAAGAAGTTTAATTATTTATTTATATTTTGTTTTAATTACAGCTCCAACTTTGCTGTTTTTGTTCGATAATTGGGTCTAGTTGTGTGACGATTTACGGTTTGTTTTAATTACGTATGACTTCGAAGTCATTCTTTTCGCACTGGTTTAGTTCCCATTAGTTAAACAATTGATCAGTTAATTTTGGTTTGTCACTGAATTCCGGGAATTTTCGGATGTTGAGTGGCCTCGCTCATCGATCGTGAGAGTGCATATTTGCTGATGATTTGTTTAAGCATTTCCACTTGAACAGTTAGTCTTCACAATAGTTAATAAATTATTGACTTTGACTTCACTTTGACATGACTTTGATTTAACTTTGAAACGACATTGAAATAAATTCACGGAGCACTTTGTGTTTTTTTTTTTTTGTTTGGAGTAGCGTATATGCCAACTCAAATCTAGCTATGCCTTCAAAAGTGAGAGGGCAGCTTATTTATTCTGTTGCGTAAAATAATGGGATTTACATGTACAGCTTTAGGTCGGGTACAAGAGCCTTATACAATAATGGGCCATAGAGTGTGGTAGTCTGGGACGTTAGTATTGGTGAGATTTTGGGAGAGGGGTACAGCGCTGTAAGTTAAGCTTAACATTTGTTAAGCTCAGCTTACAGCGCTGTTCCCTCTATGTTTACATGTTGGCTTTTTTATGCCGAGTTCACTTAGACTAGAGGGTACATTTAATCATGGAGACATTGCTTTTGCAGCTTACTCTTTAAGATGTATTGTGGGTGTGGGTGGGGGGTGGGGGAGGGGTGGGTTTATGGAGCCTCAGGGGCAAAGAGGCTCAAGGTTGCCAACGAACAACCTGAGCTCTCCGTGCTTCCCCAAGAGGGAGCTAGTCCGAGATAGTTGTTTATTTTTAGTTATCGTAGCAATATGCAGGGCAAGAGTTACGTTTATGGTTATGAGTTTAGCGATTTAGTTTAAATTTTAAATTTAAGTTTATGTTTTGTTTCTGTTTTGATTGGTTGTTGATTTGAATCTTGTTAACGGTTTGGGTGTGTATGTTGAGTAAAATTTAGTACTGTTTTTATAACTTGGTCTTTAAGGAGTGAGTTTGCTACGATGCGAGGGGTGAGTTGCTACAGTGCCTCGGGGGCTGGAGGTTTAAAATTGCCAACGAACAATTTATAACTCTCCAGCTTCCCCAAGGTGGAGCTGGTCCAGTTTAGGTTGAGATTTTGTGGTTATCGCAGCTGTTAGCAAGGCAAGAGTTATTTTTAGGAGTTATGTGCAGAGTCTTAGGTTTTTAAATTATTGATTTAGTTTTTAAGTTGTATGTTTTATGCTTCAGGTTGTTAGTTGACTGTTAGTCATTGTTTACTGTTTAGTTGCGTATGTTTAGGTAACTATAGGCTTGACTGTTTTGGTCGTTATCATTTTAGGTTTTGTTGTTTAGTTAATTCAAGTATTACTGTTGTTGCAGTCTTAGTCTCTTATTGATAGGTTGGTTGAGTGTAGCGGTGTAATTTTGTATTCGTTGTAGCATGAACAGTCAGTTGTGGGTTTGTGTGTGTGTGTGTGTGTTTGTATCGATTGGTTCTTGGTGGGTATGGGATTTATGAATTTTAGTTTACCTTGGAGGGCAGTTTATATGGATTTTAGTGTTGCTTTTTCAGCTGATTCTTTTTAGTCGGACTAGTTGGGGTATGGGGGGTGGGGAAGGATAGGATACTGATGTTGAGCATGGAGGTTCAAGTTGCCGGTAAGCAAGATGTGGCGCTCCATACTTTGCAATAGCATTGCTTGGTGTTTAGGTTTAGTTTGGGGGTAGGCTTAAGGTTTTGCATTTGCAATTAGCTATAATATAGGGTTAGTTATTTATAGCTAGTATCTCAGCGCCATCGTCCTTTGGGTAGATTGCGAAGACTTCTAGGGGTGCATCTCCTTGTTGGTGGGCCAGTTCCTTATTTCAGGAGGCGTTAGTAATGGTAGCCCCAAGTTTGCTACGCAGTTAGGGGCTACAGATGGTTGTGATTTGCATCTCGTCTTCAGCTTGCTGTTGTACTGTTGCAGCAGGGTTTCCAGAGTCCACAGGGCTTGTATAGAACTGTTGATCCAGCATCAGGTCTAGTGCAGTTCCCGAGGCATGTTTGGTAGCCCTGCTTTCCAGTGATCAACCAAGTGGCTGAAGGCATCGTGGGTACAGACATGCAGGCTCTATGGAGGGCAAGCCACAAGGTCGCTACGCAGTTAGTGGCTCGCATCCATTAAGTCCGAGTTTTAGTCTTCTGAGCTAGCTGTGTGCTGGCTTGCATTTTGCTACAGGCTCGAGCCACTCATTCGCATACGCTGTTGGCGGCCCAAGATGGCGGGGGTTGAGAGTTGGTTGAATTAGCGCATTCACGCTTCAGATCGTTTATAAAGTCCTCTTAATGGGTGCTGTCCACGTATAGCGTCCCACGCCTGTAGTTTTGCAGCATTATATTGGGCCCTTTGGCCTACTGCTGTGCTGCTGCATCAGGGTTGGCAGTGTGCTTGGAACTTATATAGATCAGCTGGGGCAGCAGCGGGTCTATGGCAGTCCACAGGCAGGTTTGCTAGCCCTGGATTCGCAGTACTTTGCCATAGGCTTTAGGCTTTTTTTTTTTTGTTGTATGCAGCATAGGGGTGGGGGTTTTGGCTGAAGCTCCAGGTGGTCGTTTGTCATCTCATCAAGTGTGCTGACTCAGTTGCAGTATGGGTCACGCAGGCGCTACGCAGTTGGTGACCCATGTCAGTTGTTGTTGCTCGGTAGCCATGCGAGCTGCGCGATCGCATACGCAGTTGGCAGCTCGTGGCAGATAGGGCTGAGTGGGGATTGGTCTGCGTATCACATGGTGCAAGGCGGCTGCTTTACATGTCTCTGCCGTTTTAGGTATGCAGCCATCAGCGTACGTCCTTTATCTGCATGTAAAAGATGCCAATCCCAGTCCAGTGGAGCAGTTGGAATGCACGGCAGCGTCCAGTAGGGAGGTAAGGAGCCTTTCAGAGCAGGTTGGCATAGGTAGCAATCCAGTGGAGGCTTGTAGATTAACTGGTCATATTTGCAGTGGTGATGGTTGATCTGTTGAGTTAGGGAATGTATGAGTGCTTTGCAAGTTATATGGGGGAGGGACTGGGTGAGTATGGGATAGGTGTGGGGGTCTGATGTTTATTATTTTTTAATTTTCAGCATCAGTGTTAGCATCTTGGCATTGATTTTTGCCATATGGCAGGTATCGCACAGGCATATTTGATAATGGTTATTTGATTTAGTATTTAGCTCTATTAGCTGTAATTCTAGTTGTCGCTGAATATTCATCTAAGCAACCAATTGTTTTGTGTTGTATGATTTGTTTATTTATCCACTGTTTGGTGTTTTCAGGGAGTTCCAGTTGATGCCATTGAACGATCAAGTGTCGCCGCTGTCGCTCGTTTGGGACTGGATGCTATAGGTTGCAAGGCGGGATGCAGATGCAGTGTATAAGGAACTCGTAACTTTGTCTTTTCCAGGCTTGAGCTTGCCGCTGAACAACATGTTGACCGCCACACGGGAGTGGGACGCAAATCACTGGGTTGTTTTATCGCAAGGTGATCGTGCCCGAAAAGATGTTAGTCCCGGCCCAGTACGGCAGTCAGGATGTATAGGAGGAGTGCAAGGCCTTTGAAGATAGGATTGGCGTAACTAGCTTCCAATGGAGGCTTGAAAGTAGATGGTCATGATTTGAGGTTGAGTTTACCAATCTGTTGAGTTGTATAATTATATATTAGCATTGTGTGCTTTTATTAATTTGCCCTATGTTTGGTATTTCAGGGAGTTCCAGTTGGCGCCAAAGGGCAGCCAAGTGTCACCGCTGCTACTCATGTGGGATTGGATATAACGGGGTGTACAGCAGAATGCTGGTGCAATGCAGCAGGAACTCATGTTTTGCCTTTTTCAGGCTTGTGGGCGTCGCCGATCATCTTACAGCCACCACACAGGAGTGGGACGCGATTCACTGGGTTGTTTCGTCACATGGTAAGCGTGCCCAAAAAGATGACAATCCCAGTCCAGTGCAGCAGTCGGGATGCGTGGCAGGGTCCATTAGGAAGATGTAAGGCCTTTAAGAATGAGATTGGCATAGTTAGTGCTTAGTTTATCTACCTGGCAGTTTAGGAGAACATATGAGTATTTGGTTTGATTTCAGGTTTTCGCGCTAATGTAAGCAGGTTTATTTGGACCGTGCAGTTATAACATTACTATTTATAACAGTCGCTATGTTCATTGCTGGCAGGTGGGAGTCAGTAGCAATTGTTGCAGTTGTTGCAATTGTTGCAAAAGGCTCCCTAGATTCCCAGTGCTCGTTATATAGTTGGATTGAGTTTTGGCCAGCAGCTGCTTCTATTTCCGTGAGAGCAGTGCAGGAGCAAGGCAGGGCTTGGTATCGGGAAGGAGAGGCTGTGTTGTCAGTAACAAACCGCCGGTTTTTAGAGTTTTGTTTTAGTTTTATTTTAGATTTTTCGTAGCGACAAGCGATAATGTTTTGAGCCAAGTACTCATTTATTTATTAATTTAAATATAGAAAATTAATGGCTTGATTACATTGTATTCTGCCAGTTTGCGGCATATTAAGTTTTACATTTGTCGTTTCATTCGATGGTGTTGAGTATTTGTAACTTTGTAATGTAAGATATAACAAAACATAACATAACATAATATAATAACTAAGGGATTTCTTTCATTTTTTAAGTTAGTTTGGTAACTTAGTAGTTAGTACATGACTACTATTGATTACTACTTTTGACCTTTTAGGTTGAATATTTCGATATTATCGTTTGTATCTCTGCACTGCCTGTGCGTTTTATTTATTGATTCAATTATTTTTATTATTGCCTTATTGGCTTTGTTCACGAACTTCAGCATAGTTTCGTCAAAGTTTTCGATACCGCAGTCACAGTTTCGATTTGTAGGTAGACTTGGCTTCCTGCGGCGTGGGCATGGGGTTTCACAACTATACCTGGCTGCTTCAGTGTCTCCTCGCTGAGCTGTCTTGGCAGTTGATATGTTATTGCGGCGACGAGATCGTTTGGTGGGACGCGTGCTTTCCTTGGTCTGCGTCTCCTCTGTGGTTGGATGTGCTGTTTGGGTTTGGATTGGCGCCTGTTGCGAGAGGACTTCATCCCTTCCTAGGTTGGGGGTGAGATTTAGGCATCTTAGAGAGACGGAGCTGCAGGGCATTTGTTCCTCCAGGGTTGTTTCGTCTGAGTTTGCGGCTGCATTATAGTTGCGAGTTTGAAGGGAGCTATCAGCCAGTTGATTGGTTTCTTGGTTGTTTGAGTTTTCGTCAGGCATCGGAAGTTCGCGTATGGCCGGGTCTAGTTGCGTTTGGGATGCCAGATTTCTGCGGCGTCTGGGTTTGTCTCTATATGTGGCACAGCTTGCCGATGCGCCTGTAGACAGTCTGGTAATTGGTTTATTTGGCATTTGGGTCAGCTTTAATTGCCTCCTGTCTATTTTATTGTTGGGTTTGCCATAGACAAGCTGTTTAAGCGGGATTTCATCTTCGCTTTCATCTTCAGAGTCCTCAAGCAATTGCCTCTTGATTTCATCGTTTTGCCTCTTGTATAAGTCTTGTAGAGACTTTACGAGGAGTTTATTGGTGTCCCTGCTAAAGGGGGTTGGAGAGGTCAATAAGAGTCGTTCTAGCTCCGTTCCTCTGGGCTTCTCAGCTGGCTCCTCTATTTTGGGGGTGAGCAGAGGTTCCGGCGGAGGGGAGGTGGTGCCTGGTTCCAGATTGACATTCTCTTTCTCCATGTTTAGTAGGGGGGTCGAGGTCATATTTGCCTGCTCCTGTTGGTGTAGCCAGTTCTCAGTATATGCTGTTTTTATTTTGTTGATCCTGGGATCTCTTATGTTTTCTGGTCTGTAGCGATGGCGTTTGCTCGTGTTCATACCAAGGGGGTTCAGCGCAGAAAGATATGACGGATATTGCTCGGCTCCAACGGGATTTGTGGTGACAGTGTCCTGCATTTGCTAGAATGAATACGGGTGAGTTTCATTGGGGATTTGATTCCAGGTCTTGGCAGGCTGCAGTATGCGAATTGCCGCTTACTATTTTAGCAGAGTTTTCTCAGGTGGGTGGGCCTAGTCACGGTGATCCTGGTATTTGGCTTATTGTGAAGTCTCTTATACGTTGCCTGGGGCAGGTATTTGTTGCTTAAGAGTTGAGTAATTTACTTATTTCCAAACAATTTGCAGATTTTAACACGCTTTGCTCTTCTTCTTAATTTGGTGTGACCAGAGTTGTTTTGTGAGGAAATGTTATTTTGCGCGTTTTTGTTTTAGTATATTATTGTTTGGCTGGGATTTGAATTGTGATTAGTTTATTATTATTGTTTATTATTTATTTTAGTTTTATTTTGTTCAGGCTGCTTTTATTGCTAGGTTTGGTAGTTTGGTTGATTTGAGGGGGGGGGGGTATTCTTGGTGTTGGTAATTGTTGCAGTTTAATTTGTGTTAAGGGCCTCATGGTGAAAGATTTAAGGTGGCATTTGTAACTTTATTAGTTTGTAGCTGCTAATTAATTGTAATTATTTGTAATTATTCTTTGGCCACATATTTTGGGTAGGGATTAATTTGCAGAGATAACGTAATCTTTATTTAAAGTTTGGTTATTTATTTTGTAATTTAGGAATAGAAAAAGTTTGACAATGTGTATATGTTTTCATGTTTTCATGTTTTCTTATTAGGTGAAGTCATTTATTCCTCTTCGTCTGACGTCACTGGGCTACGGATGAGGTTTGGGTTTGTTACCATGTTTGTGATGTTCATATCTGCCGCCATGCCGTCCAGTTTCGCAGCTACTACCTCTAGCATGGAGGCTAGTTTTTCAGCGCTATTGATAAGGGCTATGCGCGTGCGTCTGCAATTGCATGTGGATGGTTGTCCAAGTGCTACGGAGGAGGGGGCAGCTATGGTGGTTCTGCGTTGTTTGCTGCGGGATCCTTTCTGGCGTTGCCTTTTAGCCCTGGTGTTGGTGGTTGCTGTTCCGCATATCAAGGGCTCGTTGTCTACGTGATTGGCATCTGGAGCTGTAGGGATGGCTGCGTCTTTAGTGAGAGTGTTTTCCTTGCCCGGGTTTGGATTCCCGTTTATGGTATCAGCTATTTTTTGGCATATGGTGGCACTAACTCCGAGTTCCATTAGTATACTTTGTGTGTCAGTGTTTAGCTTATTTGTCTCTGGTTTGGTTGAGGAGACAAAGATAACACTATCATCGTCGTTTGTGCCCTGTTCCGGAGGTAGCTCTAGCAGGTTGGGTGCTAGGGCTGGCGGCATTCCTGATGGCGTTTCCGGTGGCATCTCCTGAGCTTGAGTCTGGTTTTCTGGAGCGTGCTGGCACCTGGTTATCAGGTCTTTGGGGTGAGGGGGGCCCTGTATGGCGGTTTGCGGGAGCAGGGGGCTTGCTGCTATCGTGGTATTTTCCGGGATTCCAGTGATTGTCGGAGTGAGAGGGGCAGCACTTTGGAGCACCTTCTTTAGTAACTCAGCTTGCTGTAACTGCAGCTCACGGTTGTTATCGGAGGGGGATGCTTCGATTTCTGCTTGGTCTGCATGGGCTGTTGTTTGCGGCTGTATGTTCGCTTTTTCCGGACGACATTCGCTCGGGAGTTTCATACTGCCATATGCAAGGTGGCTGCTTATGGCTTGCCCAATTTCGTCGTTTTCCACATCTACATCGCTGTTCGCCTCTGTGCCTGAACCACGAGGATCCCGTTTTTCCATAGCTGTGGTCCGCATTGGTTTAAGTATTTTCTTTAGCCCTTGCACACGCTTTACACGGTGTTTTAGTAAGGTGGACACAGTAGGGGTTTTCTTGGGATTGTTTTGTGCAGATCTCATTTTAATTATTAGTTTTTTTGGTTTTCTTTCCATGTTTGCACTTTAACAATTTTTCCGTTTACTGATTCCGCCAGGGTTTTGGAGCGAACTACTGGTTCTTTGAGTTTTCTGGGAGCGGAGTTAGTGTGGTGAGTCGGCGTAGTGGATGATTTTGGTATAGGCGTGTTCGCATACTTGCTCATTGGTGAGTAAATTTGTCTATGTGTGTGTGCTCAGGGGGTATTTCAGTGTAGTGAGTCAGTGCGGTGAGAGAGTTTTGGTTTGAGCGTGTGCACTCACATGTTCAGGGGCGATGTATGTTGCTTGTGTGCTCGCTCTGGGGAAATTAGTGAGCAATTACTCAGGATTGTACTCGCTCTCTATATCGACTTATGAGTGAAGTTTGGTTATAGGGGGCACAGAGTAGTCTCGGAAGGTAAGTTCATGTTGGTTTATGCATTTGTTTTAGGTTTTGCTTCATACGTGCGTCGGTATGTGTGAGGAGTGGGAAGAAGGGGACAAATGTAGGATGATAATATCGGAGGGAAGCCGTTTGTATGGTATTCCTTTCCCTTCTCTTTATTATATGGCTATACAGCGTTTTAAATGCAAGTTATTTGATTATGCTCGTTTTGTTAGGAATTTATGGCATTGTTTGTGTAAATTACAGAATTTTAAGGGAAAGAGAGAGTTTTATGTTATGTAATTTAGGGGTTTGAGTTTTCAGGTAGATTAATTAACAGTTTTGACTTATCTGTTTTCCATGCAAGGCGCCAGTGGTTGATTGTTATGCGGGGCATGATTTGGACTCTTTGGTGGCGGGATTGGGTTTGTAGGAATTGTTGCTTCGCAATTTCAATCAACTTTTGTTATCATCGATTTCAGTTATCCAAGGGAGGCTTCCTATACGGGTCAGTTTAGGCAATCAGGCGCGACTCTGGTCAGCTAGGTTTTCCGCTGGGTTGTAGGCAGGGCATCACTTGGGGTTCTTTAGTGGCGAATTGGTGGAGCTTAGGGGACTTTTTATGCACTTGTTTTTACTATTACATGGATCATGCTTTCAGGGCGTTGAAGACATGAGGCACGGGCAGGGTCAGTCCCTTTCAGAGGGCATCACTATCAGAAATCGGTGTAATTTTGAGTCTGTAGATGACGTATGGCCAGAAGGACGGTAGTTTGACATCTTTCAGAGGTCAGCTCAATGTTATAGTGGTTGCTACTGATTTCTGTTTTATCTTTTTGAGGTTATATAGTTTATAAGTTTATTTGGTTATTGTTTTGTTGGTTTTATTCGTACTATTTGTTGGTGACTTGTTCATTTTGTTTATTGTTTAAGTGTGCAATTAGTTCTGTTTTGTTGGTTTATAATTTGTTGTTGCTGTTATTACTCTGTTCATTGATTTATTGGTCTTATTGGTTTATTAATTAATTTATTGTTTTATTGGTTTTATTTGTTTGTTAGTTGATTCTTGCTTAATTGTTTATCAGCTTATTAGTTTCCAGTGTTATTTACTGGCTAATTTGTTCAGACCATTTGTAGGTTAGGTTTAGTTGGCCTCGTGAGACGTGTTGAGTCTGCGCCCATTGCTACATGACATGTCATTGCAATTTTTTTTTTTTTTTTTTTTTTTTTAACTTAGATTAAATATAAGTTAAGAATTAAAAGTTTATTATTTTATTTATTAGGTATTTTATGTGCTTTGGCTGTTTAATGCTTATTAATTTGTTCTAACGTGCGTTTCTTTGAAATTGTCTCTTTATATAGTTGTTATATATTGCATGGAAAATTTGTTTTAAAAATTTTGATTTAAAATTTTGCTTAGTCGTCAAATGGCGTTGCTTTAATTTCCGTAGTTCCGCACAGGATTATTTAGTAATGATTCGATAGCGACCGTAGTAGCATGACTTGGTTAGTTAGTTAAGTATGTTAACTAAGCATTTTAGAACGTTTCACTTTGTTTTATGGCATATTAGCAATTTATTAACTTTGACTTCACTTTGACATGACATTGATTTAACTTTGAAACGACATTGAAATAAAATTCACGGAGCACTTTTTTGTTTTTTTTTTTTTTGTTTGGAGTAGCGTATATGCCAACTCAAATCTAGCTATGCCTTCAAAAGTGAGAGGGCAGCTTATTTATTCTGTTGCGTAAAATAATGGGATTTACATGTACAGCTTTAGGTCGGGTACAAGAGCCTTATACAATAATGGGCCATAGAGTGTGGTAGTCTGGGACGTTAGTATTGGTGAGATTTTGGGAGAGGGGTACAGCGCTGTAAGTTAAGCTTAACATTTGTTAAGCTCAGCTTACAGCGCTGTTCCCTCTATGTTTACATGTTGGCTTTTTTATGCCGAGTTCACTTAGACTAGAGGGTACATTTAATCATGGAGACATTGCTTTTGCAGCTTACTCTTTAAGATGTATTGTGGGTGTGGGTGGGGGGTGGGGGAGGGGGTGGGTTTATGGAGCCTCAGGGGCAAAGAGGCTCAAGGTTGCCAACGAACAACCTGAGCTCTCCGTGCTTCCCCAAGAGGGAGCTAGTCCGAGATAGTTGTTTATTTTTAGTTATCGTAGCAATATGCAGGGCAAGAGTTACGTTTATGGTTATGAGTTTAGCGATTTAGTTTAAATTTTAACTTTAAGTTTATGTTTTGTTTCTGTTTTGATTGGTTGTTGATTTGAATCTTGTTAACGGTTTGGGTGTGTATGTTGAGTAAAATTTAGTACTGTTTTTATAACTTGGTCTTTAAGGAGTGAGTTTGCTACGATGCGAGGGGTGAGTTGCTACAGTGCCTCGGGGGCTGGAGGTTTAAAATTGCCAACGAACAATTTATAACTCTCCAGCTTCCCCAAGGTGGAGCTGGTCCAGTTTAGGTTGAGATTTTGTGGTTATCGCAGCTGTTAGCAAGGCAAGAGTTATTTTTAGGAGTTATGTGCAGAGTCTTAGGTTTTTTTAAATTATTGATTTAGTTTTTAAGTTGTATGTTTTATGCTTCAGGTTGTTAGTTGACTATTAGTCATTGTTTACTGTTTAGTTGCGTATGTTTAGGTAACTATAGTCTTGACTGTTTTGGTCGTTATCATTTTAGGTATTGTTGTTTAGTTAATTCAAGTATTACTGTTGTTGCAGTCTTAGTCTCTTATTGATAGGTTGGTTGAGTGTAGCGGTGTAATTTTGTATTCGTTGTAGCATGAACAGTCAGTTGTGGGTTTGTGTGTGTGTGTGTGTGTTTGTATC